TTATTTTAAGTTCTTGGATAGTTTTTTTTTTTAGTAGTAAATATCCCAACCAAGAATCTTTAAGTATATTCAAGGCAAGACAATGGTCTGCAAAATTCTGCAAAATTCTGCAAAATTGATTATTGGCCACTTTCCAAAAAAGATTTTAAAGATGCCAAATTAATGAAATGGTATCCTAGTCTCTCCAGATATTAAAATTTGTAGTTCATCATTAAAATAAATGTATACAAGAATGGAAAATATTCCAGAAAAGATCTCTGGGAAGCAATTAAATACAAGAAAGAAAATGAAATAAAACAAAGAATATGAAAAAAACGAAAACATAGGTCCAGCCTTAGGAAAAGTATGTTTAAACTGTAAAAGAAAAGTCCATTTTCAACCTGTGCACAATTGCAAAAAGGAAATAGAAAGGGTAGAAAATATAAACCCTCATACTGAAAATACAGAAGTATATTTGATAAAGAACGCCTGTAAAAAGTAGAGACAGTAAAATTGAATGGCATAACTTTTCCCATGAAAGTTGATACAGGAAGTAATGTTATCTTGATCCCAAGGAATTTCTGGGAAAAAGTGGGTAAACCCAAATTAAGAAAAGGAAATCTTAATTTGAAACAATTTGATGGATCTGTCATCAAAAATCTAGGCTCTTTTGAAGGAACTTTCGAAAAAAACGTTTTGAGATTATTTCCATCACTGTTGTAGAATGCACAAAAAATCATGGACTCCTGGGAATAGACGTTTTAAAAGTGGATACAGTGAAATTAATAAACTTTATAAAGTCAAAAGAACTTGACATAGGACTATTAAAAGTATATAAAGCGAGTATTCATCTAAAAGAAAATAATCACCCAATCTATTTTGAATCTCAAAAAAATACCTATTCCCATTCTACCTATGGTAGTTGCAAAACTAAAGAAAATGGTAGAACAAGGCATGTTGGAGAAAGTTACCCAAGGTGGTAGCAGTTGGGCTTCACCAATTTTTGTGATATGAAATGATATATGGTGATTTGAGAATATGCAGGGATTACAAAGTAGATGTGAATCATTAGATATGCTCTGATTCATTCCCTCTACCTAACATAGAAAGGGCAAATCATGAATTAGCAGAAATGAAATACTTTGCCAAGATTGATCTGAAATCAGCATATAACCAAATAAAAATTGACAGAAAATTTAAAGAAGTCACTACAATTAATACCCCAATAGGCTTACTAGGATGGACTCGTCTTCCATTTGGAGTTAAGACTTCAAGCTATATTTTTCAAAAGCTAATTGAAAAAGTTCTATTGGAGGGGGTAAAAAAATATAATCATATATCATGACAGTATAGGCTTGAGACTTACAGTAAAGAGGAATTTAAAAAAAAATTGAGCAAGTTTTAAACAAATTAAAAAAAAATCTGATATGACAATAAATAGTGATAAATGTGAGTTAAATTGCAACAAAATATTGTATTTGGGATACCAAATATCTAAAAAAGGAATTTCACGACAATAAACTGATAAATAAAATATCAGAAGTATATACACAAAAAAAAAAAAAAAAAATTTCAGCAAAATAAAATTCTCTAAGGAAAAAGAATGATGGCTTGGGTACATGGATCATGCCCATATTAAAGGCATGGTACTATTTTTAATGTTAGTGGACTTATTTTCAAGATGGCCCAAAGTAATTAAGGATGCTGACAGAAAAGCCACTACTGTAAAACAAATATTAAGAACAATATTTTCAAGGAATGAGGTAACTAAAACTTGGATAATGTGCCAGAATTTTGCAAGGAAAGTTTGTGCTTGTGGCTAAAGTGTACTGGATGCATCCTGTATACAACACCACCCTATCACCCACAATGAAATGGAATCACAGAAAGAATGGTGCAGACTGTGAAAATGGAATAAAAATCATTTTCCCTATCTAATAATAATATAGAGAATGACTTACCAAGATTTTAAGCAATAGGACAATTCTATATGCCAGCAGACGGCAAATTCCCTCCACATTAATGGATAGACAGATTAGAGCTCCCATAACAATGACATTTTCAACAAGTGAAAGTGTGTTATAAAAAAGACAAAGAATCTAGAGAAGGTGAACTTTGTAGTACAGAAAGGACATAACACAGCAACACTAACAAACAATGAGCAAAATATACTGGCCCATGCGGATCAATTCAGAAACAGAATGGAACCTGAAGACATAGAAATGGACGAAGAATCTGAAGGTGAAGAACATGAAGGGGAAGAGGAGACCAATGAATACAGTAGTGAAATTGAACAATCTATGGATTATAATGACCAGAAATCTGACAAGGAGTCAGAAGAGGAAAATGAAATCAGGTCTAGGTCTCCTATAAGAAGAAATCAAAATATACACCAAGAAAGATTAGAAGTCAAAGATCAACAAAAGGGATAAGGCTATTTCCATTCAGAGAGGCGTAGTATTGTATGTAAATAATATACTGCTATAAAAGCAGAATGCCACAGCAAATGCCAGTCAAGCTACTATCTCTGTTGAATTAACGTCTATTCCAGAGATTTCTCTATTCTATCACATAAATAAATATTCAAGTTGCACTTACTTTCTTTGCATAATAAAACCTGACAAACATAAAACAAATTATCAATATTTTTAATAAGGATATAAAGTTTGAACTAACACAATATATTGCTTCTATAGGTAGATCCTGAAAATGTTACCAAATCAGTTGGTTAATTGCTACTTTATTTTACAAACAATGAGTTGTATAATAAAATCTGATATAGTGTAAAGAAAATGGAATATATAATTAATCATTATCATTTAACACAATTATTATTTTGGAGAATTTAATGTGAATGAAAAAAAAAAAGAATATATATAGAAAAAAGAATGTATATATTATTGAAATATCCATTTTTAAACTGATAAAAAAAATTGTACCCATAATTATTATGATGCATGCAGATGTTAGGGCAAAGAGGCAATCTTTGTTGGTATAAAGAATGTTATAGAATCAGTCATGATGACATATATACCAAAACCAGCCTAGTTCTATAGATTATGGTATTTGTTTACCACTCCATAAAAAGAAATGTGATACAAGGACTTTTTGATGTGGGGGTGCTCACTATTTGACTCAAGATGGTGGGTTATTCAAAAATTGTCAAGTTTCTTTAGTTATTGTGACTGACACCTGGGTTTGCACCTGATTTTACCCAACTTAGTGCAATGGAGAGATACTGTCAGGAAGATGGATCCCCAGTCACCAGGCTTGAATGAATTATTATTCAACTCTTTAGGGTTGGAAACTGGAGAATATTTCTTTTGGTGTTACAAAATTGATTTTAGCCCTGAAATTTTCTTTCTTTCTTTTATGCAATGTTCATGATTGATCAATCATTTTCTTTTAACACCTGGAACATTTATCTGAGATGCAGCATGAAGTGCAGGATTAAAAAAAAATCATTAAATGACAAGTAAACTTAGAGAGATGTTTGTAACAAGCAGAAAGAAATCAATTTTTACACAATATGTGAGAGTTTGTATAGGTCATAACGTGCCATAGAATATGTAAGATTTTCAATACTTTGTAAGGTCCCAGAGTCAAAAATCCAATTACGTAATCATATTTTCATATGAATAGACTACAAAAAAGCCACAAGAAAAAAGTTCTTATCAATGAATCTAATCTTTGTCAAGTGAAAATATTATCTACGACTCAAAGTGGCTAATCACAAATGGCACTATTTAGGGCCAGACTTTTATCCTAAGCTATATGAAATAGGTTAGGGCCTTCTCTAAAAAAGTTTAGATCAAATTATTTAAAATAATTACACATGATTATTATTTATTAATGATTATATATAATTTTTTATGGTTTATTGTTAAGGAATAATTAATGATAACATAAAAATATATTTTAAAAAATGAGGCCACTGAGGGAGTGTGGCCCTAAACTATGGCTTATAGTAAGTTCAACACTGGCACTATGTTAGGATTTACAAGTATTCCTATACTTCAAATAAGTAGGGGTTCTTGCCATAGGAAAATTAGTCAAGCAAACTGTTACTACTGGGTGTTTAGTACTTGTGGCCTTCTGCAAGACTAAACAAAATTTAGTTAATACTTATAATCTAATGATCCTTTTTTGTGGAGATGTGCATAAAGCAGAGAAGAAAAATGCAGGCTAACTAATTAAATGGTTGTTTATAACATTCATATACAAGAGCTTACCTACTTTAAAAACAAGATAAAACAGAATGTTTAGAAGTATGTAATAATTAAGGTATTTATTATATTATTGTACTTACTTTATTCCTGATACTGTGTTGATTGCTAGAACAGAGATTGCTTAAGGAACATTTACACAAAACTTATTTCAGTTCTTTCATATTGTTATAAATATTTGTAGATTTTCTCTCATGAATAAAGCTTATAGATTCATTTGTTGCTCATAAATTATTATGCTTTACTTCTTTATTTACCAGTTTTGCTGCCCAGTTTAAACAATTTACATTACTACTGATTACCAAGTTGGTAAGGGAACTTAATCCTTTCTAATATAAATTACAATATAGTATCTTAAAAGTTTGCTTGCATCCCTGAAATTTATAATTTGTTTGTAAGAAGCACCTATATAAAAGATTGTTTGGAAAAATGAATTTGTCAAAAATTGCAATATATATTACACTATTTTTTCTTTTTATGAGTGAACATTGAAAAACAAACTCATAATCGAAAAAAATTTTTTCATTCCTAATTTTCAGAGTTTTACTTGAGTCAACATGTAGATTACACAGGAAAATGCATTATCCTTCATTTCACAAATATGGTCAATAGAATGGAAAGTAATAGAGAATAGATGTGAGAGAGAGAGAGAAGACATAGAGAGATACATGAAGGGAGAGAGAAAAAAAGAGAAGAAAGAGCAAAGAAGACACGAGAAGATAGAGCAAAGAAGACACGAGAAGAGAGAGAAAGCAGAGTAGATATAGGAAGAGAGATGTAGAGAATAATACCTACCTTTGTACTTTGCTCTTTTTCTATGTTGAGAGCTCTAGCAATAGATTTTGTCTGCATGTTACCAATCTTATAATCAAAAGATTGCATGAGATCATTGCAAATCCCAATAACAGTTTCTTTGTCTGAAGCCTGATAAGAGAAAAAAAATAAGAGAAATTAAAGGATTCTGAAAAGTTATTCACATTCAACTCTGCTTTTTATATTTAGAAATGGTTTTGATACCACTACAGCTATTAAGTCATGAATTTAAGTCGTAATTTTGGAGGAATTTTCAAATTAGATAATATTTGGACAATCACACAAAGTCAAAAGCAGTAAGGAATTGAATTTCCAATTTAATAAAGTACACATTTTCTCAGTGCTATAATGCATCTGCCATCTGTGTCTTATCAATATAACTTGTCCAGGCGACACATACATATCACAAAACCATAAAGAACTACAATTTAAGGTATTTGCTGAACTATAGATGATATAATCTACTTAATCAAAAATATGAATTTCTTCAATAATCTGCATGAGAGTTTAAAACTTCTGCTAAAAATACTCCTATTTATATCATTACCTCTACAGAAATTTCATCATATAAAAATCAGAGGCAGACAAAAGTTTTAGGAGGAGGCATGTGTGAGTATTGCTGATTAGTTAAGGGGTGAATATTTTCAACTCATCTGATTCAATTCATTAGCTACTCAAGATGCATCATATGTAAATTAAAATTCCAGCAACACACATTAACAATACTTTGCTAGTAGTATATCTGTCATACAATTTGAAGCACCAGTCAAAAAGCAGTCTATGATTTAGTAAACATGGCATCCCAAGGCTCAATATTAGTTCTTATTGTTTTCATGATTCCAAAATATTGACAATCAAAGATTCCTCTGTAATTGCAATTTATACTCTATTACTCACATGATTTAATACCTGTAGGTTTTTGTAGAGCATTATAGGTACCTTCACGAAATTGCTAAAAAAAAGAGCATAGCTTGATGAAAAAGACGCCAACCTTGCACAAAACAAAATTTAAATGCTTATGTTATTATTAAGAGGAAAGTTTTTTTTAATTATTTTTAAAAATGTTTCCTTCTTTTTAGAACATTCTAAATTTTGATTAAAAAAACCTTGTTTCTCTTTGTATCACCAGAACTAGTAAAATAACATAGACAATTTTTAGCACGTTTTTTTGGTATGACACATTAATTTGGAAAATCTTGCAAAAATAATTGTCGGATGTTATTGAAACTTTCAGGAACTATTCATAGATGATCGAAATTATTATTTTATTTTCAAATTACATCTTTTCGGCGCAGAAGCTAAGTTAAGCTTGGTTCAAAATATTTTAAATAAACATTATAATTTCTGATTTTCTTAAAATAAGTTTTGAAAAATGATAATTGATATTTAAAAGAATTTCAAAGTGAGATTTCCAGTTTTTTATAAAATGGAAAAAAATGGTCAATTTTAACAAAAATTTCGGACATGCTAGGAATGATTAAAAAATGTAAAAAAATAGCCCAAAAATACTTTGATCTTTCCTCTTAATAATAACATAGACATTTAGATGATAAAATTTTGTTTTTGTCAAGTTTGGCATCTTTTTCGTCATGCTATACTCTTTTTTTAGCGATCTTGTGGAGGTATCTAAGTATTATAACAATTCTGTGACTATAAAATTATTTAAATAAATAGACTAATGTCCTTATCTTTGGTGCTACTATCACCATGTCTCAACCATTGTGCCCTCTTCCTTCTTCAGATGTTTATTGATCCAGCTTAAAATACTTTTTGTCTGCTGTAGTGTTTCTTTTTTTTTTAATAAGGGTGAAATACTGTGAATTTCAGCAAATTTTGAACAGAGCCCTTTAATTTAGATACTTCCGTTTCCTCTAGGGTGAAAACCAGTGAATTTCATAGAGTAACTGAATTCAATCCCTGGATTGGGTAGTACAGACTTAGACTCAGTGGAAACAGGCCTAGCAATAACTGAGCAGTACTAAAAATGAACAAGACAAGATTTTCTTAGACATGGACTGTAGAATGATAACACTATCCCTGTAGATTAAATAAAGAGGTCAGTTTAAAATTCCCAGAGGGTTACCCAGATAGACAGACACCTGAAGAATGCTGCAGAATACAATAGCCAAAATATGATAATAATAATAATAATAATAATGACAAAGATGAGGATATTAGTCTAACTCATCCCAGAAATCAAAAAAAAAAACAAAAAAAAAACAGAAACACTTGTAACCAAATAACTGAACAAAGGACACAAAAGTTGAATAGTTACTTGAATTCACAGTATTTCACCCTTTTTAAAAAGAGAAACACTACAGCAGACAAAAAGTATTTTAAGATGTAAATTGATCAGACTAAGCAATGATGGATAATGATTGCAAAGTGAGAATTAAGAAAATTCATTTTTTGGGTTTTGATTTCTACAAATGGTTGAGGAAACGAAGCTCTTTTTGGTTTTGATTCAAATAAAAAGATCATTCTCAGGTGTGATTGTATAACTATTTACTTGAATACTTTAAAAAATAATTCTTAAGTATAATGAGGGGAAACAACACTAACCTTAATTAATAAGGAAATTAAAAAAGGAATTTAGAGTGAAATTCATAACAAGCTTATTTTGAGGATCAACCTGCTTAGTGCATTAGATTTGATTCTTACTAGTTGTCCCACAACTATGACCTTGTGCTAGACTAAGCTAAGCTTAGTAAACATCTATCACGAAACTGGAAAATTTGGTTAATATTTTTTAAGGATATAAATTTTGGTTTTTACATAGAATAAATATGATTTTATGGTAGACCAGCTATTATATAATGGTCACAAAGATATTTGATTTTTAATCAAATATATGATTTTGGAGGTGGCGTAAGTTTCAAATAACCATCAAATATTGAACTAAATCCCATGATAGATTGAATAAAAATTGACAGAGTCTAAAACCATGCTGATTGGAAACTTTTAAGGTAACTTTGTGAGAAAAGAAATATAAAATAGAGTAATAGATATTATAAATTTTTAACCATATTAGAAAAACAGACAGCATATACAGTATAAAATATATCCATTTTATACTCTATATACTTTCGTTTTCTAATTTAAGCTTAAAGTTTGATTTTTTATGAAAAAAATTTCAGAAACACAATCTTATATAATATTCATAGCATCATTATTTAGCCATTAATGTATTTAACCTGGCTTTCTAATGTTTTATACCACATTTCAGGTAAATTGTGTGTTCCATCATAGGAAAATTATCCCATTTTTGATTAGATCATTTTTTCAATAGCTTGAATTTATTAGAACCACTCACCAAAGGGGGTTGCATGAAGGCAAAATGAGTAATAATCTGAAGGTGAAAGGTGTAGAGAATATGCCACATGTAGAAAAATTTCCAATCCTAGTTCCATGATTATTTGCTGCACTATAACAAACAGCACAATCAATGGTTGATTTCTTTGACTAAGAAAAAAATCTTGTTTCAGTGCATCATTCAAATGAGTTGATCAATAAAGATTTTTCTTCAGGTTCACATGTTTGTGCTGCAACTTTCTTCACAGATTTTTCCAATTCATCAGTTTTCAAGTTCTGTTCTGCCAGAACATTTTTTGTCCTTAAGCTCAAAATCTGTTTTTTTTAAAGTTCATAAACCATTCATGACACATGCTTGCATCTATTGCATCATTACTATAAATTTTCCTAATTCATTGCCAACTCTTCCATTGCACTTTTGCCAAGATTAAACATGAAAAATAAATAGTTACGATGGAACCCTCTGCTGAACAGCTTGGTCTCCCTTTGTTAATCAGCTTTCCCACTCATATTGTGTTTAGATTTGAGGTCTTTATGTGAAACTGTTTAAAAGATCAGTCAAACCAAAGTAATTTGGTCATAGGAATAAAAATGTGATTTGCAAAATAGCAGAAAAATGCCTGTTTACAGTAACAAGAACAATGTTTTTATTTCAATTTGTTACAAGTTTTGGCATTAACTCTTCTCATATAGTTAACTTTCACTGGTTTAATAATTAACTTAATAGAGTCAGGGAATTGTGATGATGCTGCTGCAACCAAAATTGGTTTCCAATTCTTCTTCAAGTTAAATATTTTTGACTGCAAGTTGAAAACCTCCTCCATATAAGATTGGTTGTGTAAGTGTGTTAGTGGTTATAGTTTCTAGCTTCTGCTAAATCACTATGGCAAATTATTCAGACTCTGTCCAGTGAATACTATTCTAGGATCAAAAACATATGGTACATATTGAAGATCCTTCCAGGTGTTTGGGGTTTTGGTAACTGATTAATGATACCTAAGTACCAGTCAGTTACTTTCCATGCTCCTCTAAATTTGGTTTGGTCAGAGTTAGTACACTGCAATTTCAACATTCTCTACAAAATAATTTCCTACCCTGTGAGTGAAAATTAATTATTGAAAAACAGTAATCAACCACATATCCATAATAAATCTCTGTATCCATGATCAACAGCTATAATCTTTATCTATAATTTCTCTCTGTCAAGAAGTTACAAGATAGACAAATCCATCAAATGATATCTTCTGACTTCCATGAGTAAGCCAATTTCCTTCAGTAAATATAACTCTGAGTTTCATTTTCATTGTTTTCATCAATTTTGTATTTTACAAGTAAATCAAAAATAGAGGCATTTCTGATCTGCTTTTAAAATCCAAATTGTCTAGATTGGTCTCTCAGATTTTTTAACATTGAATATAACCCTATTCTAGCTGGCTATCAATTGTAGATTTCACCTGCTTGGGAAATCCACACTAGTAATTTTGTTACACACAGCCTCAAAGGTATTATAGATGGCCAACATTTTCATGAAAATGAAGTAAACTTTCTGCAAACAATTCTTAAACAGTACATAGTAGAACCGTGTTATAATGTGATTGAATTCCATAAAATGTCACTGTGAAAAAAGCAGAATTGTGCTAAACTGGGATTTAAAAGAAAATTCAACATTAAAACTGACCCACTGAAAACATCACTACTTGACCCTAATTAACTTTACCTACAAAAGA